AAAAGCTGTTCGTATACGTAAAGCTTCACTTAAAAAGTTTGAACATCGCCCTACAAAAGAAAAACTTGAAAATTATAGAATATTTAGAGCCAAAGCTAGAAGATCAATTCGTCAATCTAAACGCCAATCATGGCAATCGTATGTTTCAAATATCAATTCAAATACTCCTTTTAGGAAAGTCTAGGATGCAGTACGAAAAATAAGTGATAAGTACAAAAAGAGTCCAACTGTTCACTTAAAAACTGGTGATGGTCAATATACCAAAAAACAAACAAACGCATATTGCAGAAACTTTGGCTAAAACTTTTGAAAAGAACTCTTCTTCGAACAACCATTCAAATGAATTTCAACAACATAAATGTTAAGCTGAGAAAGAGCAGATAAATTTTACTTCAACAAACGAGGAAGACTATAATTTCCTTTTCTCTATTGATGACTTAATCTATTCAATCAAAACTGCAAAAGATAGTGCTGCAGGCCCTGACGAAATTAACTACCAGTTTCTTAAACATGTACCACCCCAATTTCTTGACTTGCTTCTGGTAAATTTCCCAACACTTGGAAAAATGCGTTGGTTATTCCTATCCCTAAACCTGGAAAAGATTCAACTGACCCTACAAATTATCGTCCAATTTCACTCACAAGTTGCCTCTGCAAAACATTCGAGAGAATGATAAATAATCGGTTAATTTGGTATCTAGAAAATAATGGAATTATCATTAATTTCCAGTCAGGTTTTCGTAAACAGCGAAGTACAAACGAGCATCTTGTACGACTTGAAACTTTTATTAGAATAAACAACACCTGGGTATCAATTTTCTTTGATCTTGAGAAGACGATACTTCTTGGAAATATGGTATCCTAAAAGATCTAAAGGATGCAGGACATAAAGGCAGACTTCCTCTTTTCATTTCTGGATTTCTAAACGATAGGCACTTTAAAGTAAGACCTGGTTCAACTTTTTCTGAGGACCACCAACAAGATGATTTTCTTACCTGCTATCGATCGAAAAGTATGAGAACAATTGAAAGGCAACTTCAACAAAATTAAGATAAAATTCAAAAGAGGGCAATAGAAAATGGTTTTAAACTTTCAAAGTCAAAAACTCAATGTGTTCATTTTTGTCGATTGCGGAAACACCATAATGACCCTGAACTTTACATATCTGGTTCTAAAATTCCAGTAGTCAAGTCATTATACAGAAGTCTTATTCGATCAAAATTAGATTATTGTTCTGTAGTATATGGGTCTGCAAGAAAATCATATCTTCAAATGCTAGATACCATCATCACCAGGGTTTACGTTTAGCTTTAGGTGCTTTTCGCACCTCACCTGTAGAAAGTCTATATGCGGAAGCTGGGGAACCATCGCTTCATCTTCGTCGAAAAAAGCTATCACTTCAATATGCAACTAGAATTTCATCTAATAGCAAAAATCCAGCTAAAAATATTATTTTCAAACCAAGTTAAACTGAAAAATTTGTTAACAAACTAAAGGAAATTAAACTATTAGGTCTTAGTTTAAAAGATGATTTAGATAAACTTAAAATTAATCCAGAGAGTATCCTTCAAAATGACGATGAGGATGTTCCACCTTGGACTTATTATTACCCGAAAATAAATATTAATCTTTCAAATATAAAAAAGTCATCAAATTCACCTGAACATTTCAAAGAGAAGTTTCTAGTAAGTAAGGAAGAACAGGAAGATTTTATACATATTTATACGGACGGATCAAGAAGGTTGCAAGGTAGGTACGGCTGTGTTTGAAAATAATTTTACATCTAGTATGAGGTTACCAGATAATGCATCATTTTTTACTGCTGAAGCAAAAGCTATAGATTTAGCATTGTCTTACATAGTACAGCATACCTATAATAAATTTGTGATATTTTCTGACTCGTTTTCTGTTTTAATATCCATTAAAAATAAGATATCTGACAATATCATAATAAAGAAACTTCTTCTACGATTTCATGATATACTTTAAAAAATCTGTTAAATTATATTGGATTCTTAGTCATGTAGGTATACGAGGAAATGAAAAAGTAGATGCTTTAGCTAAACAATCATTAAATTTTCAAACGTCTGACTTATTGTCACATGCTTGTGATTTTAGACCGGCTATAAATAAACTCGTATCATGCATCTGAATGGAAAGCAAATTGGGACAATGCCGTTTTAAATAAACTTTGCGATATAAACCCATCTCTTGATGTGTCACCATCTCTATCTCTGTCAAACCGCCATGATCTCTTCGATGCCGAATTAAACACACAAAGCCCCTTTCTCTGTAGGTTGTAATGAAATTTTACTGTCAAGCATTTTCTTCTTGAATGTCATGATTTTTCACACGCCCGTAATAGATTTTATTCTGTAAATTCACTCAAAGAACTCTTTAATACAATTCCATCAAAAAACATCATTGATTATTTGAAATATTAAACGTGTATTCTAGGATCTAATTGACTCATCTTTATTGTCATTTAGAAAGTTTTACATAACATTTTAAGCCTATCATAGCATTCGGCACGATATGGCCAGTTATGTGTTGACGTGCCGTAAAAATCCAAACAAGCTTATGTTTGTATATAAGTTTGTTAATTTGATGAATGTAGCTTTGTCAAAATTGTTCATGGTGCTTTATTTTGATTCAGATACATAGTTTTTAAAGGGAGTTATTTTTATTTCCTTAAGACTTACACGTGAATAAGAACAACTTTAAACACTTATTTTCTTAATCAAAACCTCGAAGAAGTGAGAATACCCCCTTAAAAGAAAATAAAGCGTAGTTTGATAGTATCTTTATGTCTTACACGTTTTATTTCCTTTTCTTCGAGGTTAGAAAACTTGTGGTAATGGTTTTCTTGACGTTACTCTAGTCTTGTTGAGATTGATAAAGTTTTGATGTTGTTGCATTCTTTTTATGACTATTAGATTTGTTTAATTTGTATGTTTTTGTCATTGATTTGTATTTTTGTTTTATGTTTTGTTTGGCGGGTTTTGGCGGAATCTGATTAATGTAAGCTCTTTTTTATATTGACTTGGACATTATACATTATCATGGATTATGTTCTATAATGTTAGTGCTTACATTAATCCATTATTAAGTAATATTGAGATTACTTTACTTAAGTGTCATACATTTATCAATAAATATATTTTGGTACATTATTTCCTGGCGTTTTCAGATAATTTGAAGTATTTTTTGTTAAACATAAAATCTTTTAATTATCGATATTGACAGGGGTGTTCATTATATCGTATGTTACCTGGCTTATATAGTAAAGAACAGTCTATTTTGATGATAAGCTTGATCCCTTTGATAATAAGTGACTTGTTTTGATTTGCTTGACTGTTATTTTGTATTCATCCGCTGTTATTATAAGTAAGTCGTTCAACCTGTTGTGGGTACAGTTTGTATGACACGTTTTTCATGGAATGTTAAATTTCCACCCCGCCCGGCCTTAATTTTATGTTTTTTGTTTAGGTACAATGTATATACCTGTTGGTAAGTTTTTTGTTGTTTAAGTAAAATGTCATTTAAGGCAATTTTGTTTATATGTGCTGTTGAATTTATAGCAGAATCTGATTGATGTAAGCCAGTTTTGCTATATTGACTTGGACATTTATAGTTTATCATGGATTATGTTCTATAATGTGCGTTCTTACATTAATTTTATTATTGAGTAACATTGAGTTTACTTAACATAAGTGTCATACATATATCAATAAATATTTTTGGTACATTATTTTCTTGCGTTTGCTTCTAAATTTTGAGAAAAATTCAAGACCATAATTCTGACAAAACACATAAATTTACAAGCGAAAGCCAAGGTGCACAACTCCACATGCTGATCAACATTTCTGTAAAGTTTCATGACTTGTCAAATACTTCTTAAGTTACATGCGACACAAGTTGAAAATTCCAAGGACAATAATTCTACAAATACTTAATTAATCCACATGAAAATACCCAGGTGCATAACTACACATGCTAATCAATATTCCTGTAAAGTTTTATGGCCGTATGTCAAATACTTTTTGAGCTTCGTGCAGCACAAGTTGAAAATTACAAATGTTTATTAAGTCAAGGACAATAACTCTGACAAAAACAGAATAAATCCACAAGCAAAACCCAAGATGCACAGCTTCACATGCAGAGCAACATTCCTGTAAAGTTTCAGGACTCCAGGTTAAATACTTTTTGATCTATATGCGACGCAAGTTGAAAATTGTAAATACAGTCGTTTCTGAGGCACTTGTGTTTTTAAATGTGTCTTACATTATTTATCAGTAATTACAAGAATCATTATTTCCAGAACATTAATAAAATTAAAGATAATAATGAATCATCATTATTAGAGTGACTGCCAGACTTAATTTTGATAATTATATTATGCAATCATAGTAGTCTCCCTTAGAAACTGACATTCTCAAATCAAAAAATGTACTTTCACTTTAGCAGTTTAAATATTTTATATTTCAAGGTAAGAACTATGCTTTATTATTTTCACATTTTACCAAATATTAGTACTTTTTGTAGATTTTCATTCAGACCTAGACTTTGGTGGTGATTTTCAAGCTTAACTGGTGGACAAAACCTTACTGCCTCTCTGTACAGTATGAGAGAAGATAGTCATTTCATTTTTAAAGCTGAATCCTCTATACTTACTTCCTGTAAAGCATTTAAACATTCTACTGAATGCACAAACTGACATCTCATATATACCAGCAGAGTTTTATTTCCTCATTCAGTTGAGAAAATATTTTTATGTACACCTACAAATGTTATATTTGTTAAATGGTATTTACCCCTTTGTTCTTGAAATACAAGCTTTATAGTTTATCTTTATATTTCTATATTTCTTCTAATACATTTTTATTGCAAAATAAAAATAAAAATAAAAATAAATAGTGTTACAGTTATTAGAGCTTACATATAAAATTAATAACATGAATAAACATATTAACATTTTTTAGATATAATTCATCACTGTGATTAAACATTAATCTTGGACAATTATCTCTTTATTATCTATTACCTTTTACAGTTACCTTTTTTGTTTCATTTTTCTTTATTGTTTTTTTTTTCATATTTTAGAACAATTTATCTGATTAGTAAGTTACAGTTTAATTTAAAAGAAAACAAATCTAGAAAACCCTTGAGGAAAGCAGCTTTTAATAATGACTGATACAAACAATGAAAATGTCTTTGCTATTACAGTAAATATGTATTTTGTTTATTGATTGAATACATTCTGTTTATTGATGGAATACAAAGAGTTAAAGCTAAAAATTATATCAAAGTAAGAATAATTTTATACTAAAGATTTTCAAGAAGAAATATCAAAACTTTGTAACACTGATAAATGCATACAAACTGCAGAAAACACATACTAAAATACTGTTTTGATTTTTTATATCAATAATCATTCTAAAACTTGATTTTTTCTAGCTTTCTTGATTTTTTTACAATATTACTCCTGAAATGTCATTTTCTGTCACTCCTTTTGCAGCCAGTTCATCCTTAACTCGTTCCAGATAAGTTGGATCTGGATATCCAAACCTATAAAAATGAAAAGCATATAAAATATAATTTTTACTAATTTTATCTGCCCCTGAAAATAATTTTTGTTGCTCTATAACGTCATTGTCAAAGGTTGATAAGCCAAAACTGTGGCATTTAGCAACAAACTGATTTCAAATTCGAATTTTAGAATCTTAAAAGAGTTTTCATTTATCAAAGTCAGTGACTTTGTTTGGTAATTCTTGATGTTATTTTCATAAGAACTCTACCAGTAAGTCATTAGTATCAACATTTTATAGACAAGATATGTTTGTAAAACATGTATGTCCCCTATCATCAGCCAACTAGTCATGTGCTCAGGTTATTATGACTGACTTTTGACCTAGTGACCAAAAAGTCAATAAAGGTTATCTACTGATCATGACTTGTTACTAGGTTGTGTGCAGCAATTTAATAACAAAGAAATCACAAATCTTACCAAATAATACATTCATGAATTTTATGAATCATATAGGCCGCATTAAAGACAGATAAGACTAAATCACCTGTGAAGTTTGAAGGTAAAGGGTCCATGGGTTGTTTGGATATTGATCAGACAGCATTTTTACCTATAAGGCCAATGTGATTTTGAACTCTGACCCCTTTACCCCAGAATTTCATTGAGGTCATCTTTTGACCAAAGACAATGCATATGTAAAGCTTGAAGGTCAATGGTCCATGGGTTGTTCAGTTATTGATAGAAAACCGTTTTGACATAAAAGGTCAATGTGACCTTGATCTTTGACCCCTGACCCAAAAATCACTACGGGTCATCTACTGGCCAATGCATCTACAAAGTTTGAGAGCCAACAGCCCATAACTTGTCAACTTATTGATCGGAAACCTTTTTAACTACATGGTCAATATAACCTTGACATTTAACCCCTTGACCCAAAAATCTAAAAGGGGACATCTACTGGCCAAGTTTAATGCATCTACGATGTTTGAGGGCAACAGGTTATGGCTTGTCAAGTTATGGATTGGAAACCGTTTTTCCTCCAATATAAATGTGGCATTGACCTTTGACCAAAAAATCAATAAAAATCATTTACTGGTCATAGGCAATCATCATACCAAGTTCGAAATTCCTAGGCCCAAACATTCTTTAGTTATCGAAAACTGTTTTTACCCACAAGGTCAATGTGACCTTGACCTTTGGCTCCTTGACCCTAAAATCTATAGGGGTTATCTACTGGTCATTAACGATCATCATACCAAGTTGGAATTTCCTTTGCCTAAGCGTTCTTTAGTTATTGATCGGAAACATTTTTACTTACAAGGTCAATGTGACCTTTACCTTTGGTCCCTTGATCCTAAAATAGATAGGGGTCATTTACTGATCATATACAATCATCATACCAAGTTTGAAGTTCAAAGGCATATGCATTCTTTCGTTATAAATCAGAAACAGTTTTTACCGACAAGGTCAATGTGACCTTGATCTTTGATCCCTTGACCCCAATATCAATAGGGGTCATCTACTGGTCATGAAGAATCATCAAAGCAAGTTTGTAGTTCCTAGGCCTAAGCAATTTTAAGCTATTGATCGAAAACCGTTTTTACCTACAAGGTCAATGTGACCTTGACCTTTGACCCAAAAATCAATAGGGGTTATCTAATGGTCATGAACAATTATTATACCAAGTTTGAAGATCCTAGGCCTAAATGTTCTTCTATTATTGATCGGAAACCGTTTTTACCAATAAGGTCAAGGTCACCTTGACCCCAAAATCAATACGGGTCATCTATTGGTCATTAGCAATCACAATACCAAGTTTGAAGTTCCCAGGCTTACGCAAACTTTAGTTATTGATTGGAAACCTTTTCTACCTACCAGGTCAATGTGAGCTTGACCTTTGACCCATAGATCCAAAAATCAATAGGGGTCATCTACTCGTCATGAACAATCATCATACTAAGTTTGATGTTCCTAGGCCTAAGCGTTCTTAAGTCATCACTCGGAAACCATTTGGTCTATGACCGACCGACAGACAAATGCAAAGAAATATACCCCCAGTTTTTTGAAGGGCGGCATACTAACTTGATACTGTAGCCATTAATCAGTGTAAGTGTCAATAAGACATTCTTACGTTTTTATCCTAGCTGGCCCATTTTAAATAATAGGAGCATGTTTTATTAGGATAATAATTGAAATAGCCATTCTGACAAATGACATTTGATTTAAATGTTACCCAAAGAATGTTTTAAATCCAAATGTTAATAACAGAATAGCTTACAATTTTAAACAGCTCCTCTATGAGCTCTTTTTATTGTCTCAAAATTATACACTTTACATACTGTGTATGAGGTCTAGAATCCGTTTTATGATGAATGTCATTCCATGTGATAACACCTTCCTGGCCTGTAGTTCTAGAGCTACCAATGGTAAACACAAGCTTCCTTTCAAATGCCACTTTCAGCATTTTAGCAATCTTTCTACCTTCTTTGGTATCAGGTAGGTATGCTCGCGTTTGTATACCTTTGTACCATTTGCCTGGATTAGGATGATTTTCCTGAATAAATATATTTACAATATTGATTTTTTTTGCTAGCCATAGAAAGCCTGAATATTCTAAATTTGAAAAATCTCACTTACTTTTAAAATATGTTATTATTGTACATGTACTTTGGTTTTATAAGCAAAGTGTTTAGCTTGATGTGTTGAAGCAAAATACTCCAACATTTTCATCATTTAAATGCTAAATGTCTGTTATTGCCCAACAATGTTAAGACTGATATTAAGTAATAAAACATCGAGACATTAAAACTGAAACAAGCAAATTCGTTTATTTGTATTCCCCGCCGAGTACTGGTTATTTACTAAAACAAAAACTGGAGACATAAGGCTTTATTTATATATTTATCATGGCATTCACAGTAAAAAAAAACTTCAGTAGGTCAGGTATTTAAACCAGTCTTTGATGAGAAAATTTATCGATTGACGTAGATATGTTGAAATCCATTCAGTTGTTGTAAAAAAATCCAAAAAAATGTTATACTTTGTCCATGAAAAAAAATGCAGGTACATAACAGGAATCATAACTCCGTGTTACATAGTATAATTGGAACAGGCCATGTGATGCTAATTTCCTTTCCAAATTGACGGTTCTCATAAAGTTTTGTTGAAATCAATCCATCAGTTGCAAAGAAATAGCAATATTGCTCTATATGCATACTGCACAACTAATCATGGGCCATAACTTTGTATTGAAGGGTGTGACCAGAACAAGACAACGATGCACATCTCCCCTTGGCATTGATTGTACAAATAAACTTTCATTGAGTTACAGCCTGTAGTTGCAGAGAAATAGCGTGGAAACAGTTATTGCATACTGCATAACTATTCAATGGCCATAGCTTTGTCTTAAAGGGTCTGACCCGAAAAAGGCAACAATATGCACATCTCCCCTTGGTATTGATTGTTCCAATAAAGTTTCATTTAATTCCAGCCAGTACTTGCAAGGAAAAAACTTGAAAACAAAATTCAGACGGACGGATGGACGGACGACCGAACAGTATTCCCATCCAAATCCCATCGGCAGGGGATAACAAGAAATGTGTTCATAGGACACAAATGACCGACATTTCACTGTTTTTGTCAATCTTCAGCAGATCTAACATGACAGCAGAACAGGATCAATGGAATCGATAATTGAGTCTTTTTCATGCAACCCCCTCTCCCCTTGGTATTGAGATAGATGTATTCACGTAACAATTATAACCTCCCTAGCAGCAATATTGAGGGTCTTGTCCAAAAATAATATTATATTCCCAAGAGTAAGATAAGAGAAAAATCTCTCATAATTCATAAATAATGTCATACACCTAAGTTAGATATGAGAAAAATTTCTATCATCTTCATAAAACCTGATAAAAATCAATTGTATATTGGTCTTATAATAATATTTTCCTTCACAAGCATAACAGAATTGATAATTAACTTGTATCTACTGTTTACATAGGTTTTTTCATATTTTGTCAATTTATTATATAAAATATTAACTCGCAAAATGACTGCCACAATTGGTAAGGGAAGTATATATGGTAAAAACCTGGAACTATCTTTCTGCGCTGTACAATAACTTATTATCAAATAATATTTCTAAATAAGTTTGAGAAATAATTCTTAACTGCTATATATAGCATTTTTCTTTTATTTCTGCAACTTTGGGGACAAATCAATATGCTGTTGCTGAGAGGTGTTGCTCGATTTAGAAAAAGAATTATTATGAAATCTTAATTAGGGCATAATTCCCACTACTGATTCAAAAAGTTTATTCTTCTATCATCGGCCATCCTGTAAACTTTAAGGTAGCACACAATATATAAACTCCAGAGCAGTTAAATAGCTATCAAAACCATCAATGTGTAAAAACAAAATAATGTACATATACTACCAGTGCTCAAAAATAAACACAAAAATAAACATAAATTTACCCTTTGTTTACCATCTTGGAAGGTGTATGTTATGACAATGGTGTCACATGAATAATATCCTGAAAGCTGTGGGTAACGTTTTACATAAACATCCATTGTACCATCTGGCTGATCCCCTGTATTTTGAAAAATCAATGTTGATTATTGTGTAAGCAAGATAGATAAGTGCTGGGCTAACAATTATAAATAAACAAGAGCCACCACCAGGCCAGGAGCATCACTTGACTTTTTTTTTTCTCTTCATGCAAACAAATAAAACGTTTAAACAAATTTCTAAAAAGAAAATTAAAGAAAGAATAGGTAGGTTTTGTCACTCTTGTTGTTTTGTCCATGTATGAATCATTACAATAACGTTCAAAGATCTTTTTAACATCCAAAACTGTGCACATGATCAATATTTCATAGCTGTTAATCAAAGGACAAGAAAGTAAGTCACTTCTTCAAATTCTCTAGGTCACCTGATATCAAAGTTTTAATTTTACATCTAAAACTATGCACATTATTCAAATTTCATAGCTGTACATCAAAGCTAAATGTTGGTCACTTCATCAAATTATCTAGGTCAGCTGATATCAAAATTCAATTTTACATCTTAAAGTGTGAACATGAGCTGTACATCCAAGGCCAAGAAAGTAGGTCACAGTCAAATTATCAAGGCCAGCTAATTTGTCCTTCAAGGTCAAGGTCATTTATAAGTGAAGATCAAGGTCTGTTTGGTTCCTATTCAAGAAGACTGTTGTGTAAAAGTATGAATTAATCCAATCAAAAATAACAAAGTCATAGCCACTAATAGATAAAATCAAGCAAGATTTAGACATTTGACTATAGATGAATGAATTTAAAATTTATTCTGGTCTACTTGAAGGTCTTGTCCCAAGGGTTGTTGTGGTCAAGTATAAAAACAATACAGTACAAACTTAAAAAATAATGATCAATGTTAAAAGTTTAGGAGACAATAACACCAACATGACTTTAACATTACTTCAATTCTTTTCTTTGAAAAATAAATGAGCTAAAAACTGGAATTTACTTCTCTTGTTTGAAGCAATATATCAGTCGCTGTTGTTAGTACAATTTCAGAACAGAGAAGGTAATATAGGCTCTCCACTGTTGTATTGGTATCATTACTTACACTTTCAAACTCATGACACTGAATTTGTAATTAATCACAAATTTCTAAGCAATTAGGTTCAGAATGATATACAAGTGTTAAAGTTTCCAATAATTTTTACAGTTCATAAGATTTATGTTACACATCATACTGCTAGTTTCAGTTAATTATAGAAAATATACACTACCTGTTATTTCTCCAAAGACATGTGCACATGTCGGACATTTCTCAGCAAACTTTGACTGTTGCTCTATGCATTCTTTACAAAAGGCATGGCCACAATATAGACGCTTTGGTTCTGTGATTCCACAAAGACATATGTCACAATCTTCTAACTCACCAGGAGATACTTTTGTCTCAACCTTTTACATAAGTTATTCATATACTATATTCAGTTATACTTCATTTTTTTTCAATATTAAATACTATGTTTCCAAGGACGTTTGTTTTTAACAATGTAGCAGTATTGTATATGTAGAGGATATTGAATGAGTGTAAGTTTAATACTGAATTTATTGAACGAGCAGAATAACATTATATTATGCGAGCCTCTTTTATTCAACAAGTGCATTAAATTTTGTATACAACTTACACAAATTTAATATTCTATTCACACATACCCAAAATAAAAACTGTTTAAAGTGAAAAAGTACATTTTCCATTGACGCGCCTATAGAGTAACGCTAACATTTAGCGCGTCTTTACACTATGTTTGTATAACGCAATTTTTGTCACGTCAAAATATATGCACGGCGGTGCAATACCATTTTTACGGGGTCACAAAATCGGCACGGGTATGTGATAAAAAAAAAACAATATGATTCTCAGGATATTTGTTGGTTTTCTTTTTTTTCAAACAATGTAATATCTAAATAAAACAATGTGATTCTCGGGACATACGGTTTACTATAATATTAATATCATACAATTTGGAAATAAATTTGTTGGTATTTTTAACATTTGTAATTCAGCATTGATGCAAAGCATCAAAAAGGCTACGCCAAAAGATATATTTGATCAAAAGTTGCAACAAAAATACTCAACAAAATATGTGGGCTTCATATAGTACTATTACATGTGACCTCGAAGTTAGGACCCTGTTTAATTTTAAACCAAAAAGAAGACCCAAAAATAAAAGACTATTTCTTGCCAAGATGCAATGACAATTTATTGTCATTAACCAATCACTCATAGGACTCATGTCATTAGAAAAAATTTCTTCAACTTCATATTGTTTATATTAGATACTAGGATAAGGAGTCATCAGTAATGATAATTTGCTTATGATTGCTGACATGTCATTGACATATTTTCAGAAATAAAAGAAGATCTATGGACCCTTCAGTAATGGAACAGTAGTTCAATGAATATCAGCCACATCCATCAGTTGCTGTATATCAGAGAGGTAAGACATGAATCATGCAAGAATTTCATTACCTATGCCAGATGCTTCATGTTTCATGTGCAGAATGTTGTGGTCAACTATATCACATGCCTTTTGTAGATCTAAATTAATATGCCTACAAAATTACCTTAGTACTTTCCAAATCTAATATTATCTAATAAATAAATCAATCATTTGTCAGTTGACAAAAACACTTCTAAAGCCTTACTGAAACTGATGAAACATACCCCTAACTGTCCTTAAAATAAGATACAACTTGGTTATATGCAACTTTCTCGAAATTTATTACCTTGCCATTATCATTTTTATTTCCAAAGGGATTAAGAATGATTTTAATTTTGTTCAAGGGTATCCACAACGAAATTATTTGATTTCTTGATTATTTTTTCTAAAATATTTAGAAATTTACAAAATTTTCACCTCACAATACCGTAATGCAGCTCTACTAACTGAGCTATCCTGCGGCTGGCTTACACATTATCTCCCATAAATACCGAAGAGTTCTTAATCATAATATATTCCCCGCTTTATTAAAATTATTCCTCGAACTTCTCAGGGTAAGAAACGTTTGAAGCCTGAACATGGCTCGAAGCTATGGCTGTCAGAATACCCTACCACAGCTCTACCGACTGTGCTATCCGGCTGCCTACACATATTTTAAACAGTGAAATTAGTTCTAATAATACCCCCTTCTGTTTACAGAGCCATGTAAGTTAAAAGGTTAAAGTAAACGTTATGTGCAAGATGTAGTCACATGATGAGGAAAACATGCAGCCTGACCATGACTCGAGCCCGTGATCCACAGATTAATGTACCACGCTTGTAGCGATTGAGCTATCTGCCCGCGTACACATTTTCTCTTTTAAATAGTGAACAGTTCTAAACCTCGACCGATTGTTTAAGATATTTTGATCAACAGATCAGTTTTTATTAATACAAATATATGAAAAAGAAAAACTTACATTCTCTTAGTCTAAACTGAACAATTTTAATATCTGTATAATTATTTTTACTAAAATGACTGAGACAGTAATTGATAGTGACATTATTTATATCAGGCCAATTTTAAAAATGAAAACTGTATCGATATATGTACTATCATTATCTCATTCTTTGAACAGATAAAACACTTTTTCTAGAATTTTATGGTGGCTGGTTTGTGCCATGTTGTATTTTTGCATCAGGGGGCACCGGACGAAAACATGAAAATACAAAAAAGGAGCCACTTAATCGTCTATTCATGCTTTTGTCTTGTGCCCAGTTTCTTTTCTCACTCTTCTGGTTTTCACGCAGAACAAATCAGACACCATAATATTACGCGCATACATTTATTCAAGTGAAAGTCAAAAATCTACACTATGAAAAGTTTGTTTTAGGGTTGGCTCTGTTCGAGGCCTGGAGATTGAGTCCGGTGTCGTTCCATTACAAAATTAACAAAAAAGGTCTGTCCTTTTTCAAACTATGCACAGAAATTCTTTTAAGAAATAGCATTCAGAATAAAAAAATGAGACTTGATAAATTATAATCCTCGATCTAAGTTTAACGGCATTTTCTTTATTCAAAGGACCAATACTGACCTACTAGCAGAGAGTGCGTAGGATATATATCAAATTTGCATTGCAACGACACGGTGGAAATCCACCATGAACCCTGACATCACTGGTTGTGGGCACTAATTTAACCTCAATTCTGGAAAGGTCATACCTGTCGTATCTCACAAGTTCAGAAATTTTTTTTTGACAAATAAGTTATACAGCTGTCCCAATGTTGGCCATATAGTCACAACAGTCATGATAAGTCACCCTTTACAATATTCCTGTAAATAAAATTATCAGCCAGCTAAACTGGGTATAAACCTATAACCTGTATACTAACCAATACATGTAACTATTATCAAATATAAATTTAAATGTTAGTCTCATCCCTTTGATAATAATACTGTAACTCTATCTGATATTATAGAGTCTCCGCGTATCTGTAGAAAATACACGTATGTATCATTTATAATTTCTAGATATTTTCATTTTATATATATTAATCCTACTAACACTGGTACTTGGATGGAAGTCAAAATCTAGTAGAAAGAAAATTATAATGTATAGAGTAAAAGTAAAACAAAAATCTCAGAAAGTGTATATAAAATAAAGATAGAGTGTTGTCCATATCTTTTAGAGTAACAAACATTGTCGCTCTTTCAACCTTCCGTTAAATTTATTATAACGACTGACTGTATAAACATTAAGTGTTTAAAATCGATAACTTAAGGATTTTATCATATTATGTGCAGCCATCAGCATAGCTGTAATTTTTCTACCGTCATTTTTACCACAGGATATTTTATTAACAATTCTAATACAAAAAAAAAATAAGAAAATAATACTTTTGTAATTAATACCACATAGTGATGAGTAGATTGCTGTAGCAGAATACCTGTAGGTATGCACAAATTAGAAAAATCGAGTCTAAACTAAGATCAAATCAGTATCAGTACAGCTTACGCTACAAATGCTAGTAAATTTACAGATAAGTTGTTTAAAATAAAACATATCAAATAAAGTCTTCGGAAATAACAACAAACACATAATGTTTGTGGTATAACATCACTGTTGAAATCTCCTTACAAAATAGATTCAGTCAAATTGTTATAAGAAGAGCAAACACTATCAGGAATAGTATAAAATTACTTTGCTTAAGGGGTCTATATTAAACCTCGCATAAAACTGGTTTAGTTTTTGGTAGAAGGACTTCAATTCATGTGGCTTCAAGTATTTTCATGCTCAAGACCACTTGGCATGATGAAAGAAATGTCTCTTCGTACATATACAGTCTGACATCACTCTGTTAGTTTCTATTCTTGAGCTGTAAATATAGTTATCTATAGATATTTCTTTGTCGGAAATTGATTCATCTAATCGTGTTTCAGAAATGCATATATAGGCAGCTCTAGTCCTACGTGACAGCATACGTAACTCATCAAGTTTTGGAATAAGTTTTCACGTGTATGAAGTGGAGGCCTCGCTTGCTAAACACAGTATATAATATATCCAAGGAGGTATGTGTTTCTGTCTATATATTATCAAAATCAGATGTCTCATTGAATATGAGGATCTTGATGTTCCATAGATCTCTAGCCTAAGAACTTTTACTACATAAGGTATATCATAGTTTCTCAAATACAGACCAATGAAGTGACTTCACGCACTATCTAAACGTCATAAACGTAAGCAAACATCTAAGATATAATAAGTCGCAACAAGGATGTGTGGGAAAAAAATTGGCATATTGATATTGAGCAAATCATGGGTGTTATTAAGTTAATGCAAGCTGTCTGCATACCAAATGTATAACAAAATACCAGCCATCAAGTTAAAATATACGAGTATTACCATGCTTGTAGGTCTAGTAATATGCATAGATGCATAGTGTGTCTCTCTTTTCTACCTTAAGGGAGAAAATTTTTTTTGGCCAAAACAGTCATGTGACATTAGTCTGCTCAGAAACATATATTCCAAAAGCAGTATCAGAAATTCGGCCTTGACATCTTAATCACATGACAACCTTTATCATGTTATGCACGTTTCAATGTTGAAGCGGAATACAAATTTAAGACATAAACATGAGATCTATAGGTGTTACCTGTGCAATGATATTTTACAAAGCATTATCCCTTGAAAGAATAAATAAGCTAAATGACTTGAAAAATCTGATGATTTTGTAATATTTTTTCAACTTTACTACAAAAGCAAATATATTAAAAGACTTAATTATTCTTTGATTTGCATCTACATTCATTTTAAATGGCTATGACATTAAAAAAAACACACATGTTCAATACTAGGCGACCTTGACCATAGTGACCTTTTTATCAAATTGTCCATTATTTTTGTCCATTAGAATAGCTATCACAAATATAGCATGTACAATGTAAAAAAGAACCATCAAGGAATTTGATTAATCCCCCCCCCGCAAACAGCTTGAATCAAACTTAATTGTAGAAAATTTCATCAAATACCTATAAGATCATAAAATTTTAAATAATATGCACTATAGGCAGTATGATAATGTTATAATATTAATCACATTTTGTGTTTTATGAATAATTATAGATTTTATTAACTACACTTCTTTAGCAAAATTAATTGATTTTGCATCACGGTCATCTTGGATAAAGACATACCCTTTACCTTAAAATGACCTTGATAGTTAATGCAAAAATCATTGAATTTTGCTAAAGTTGTTATTCATAGAGGGGTTTGACTTAAATTTGAACTAGCTTCTATCGAGGATAAAACCGTCAAGTGTAGAAATTTATATATGACCTTGATTTTTCGATTTGACTTTGACCTCTTAAATCAATTATCTATTTTCCATAAAAATTTTCAAACTTTTAAAATAGGAATCTTATTTGAATTTTATAAAACATAAATATGATTAATAAGTATATATAAATACGACTAATATTATAATACCATCAGCCTATTGTAAATGATATATCCCATTCTGATATGACCTTAACCTTAAATAGTCCTAAATATTACAGTCAAATAATTGAACTTGCTGAAATTGCCATTCTTTTTTTAACTTTACTTATGGATTTGCAATATGCAATTTAAATGATAGAATTTAAATGATAAGTTGTGTAAGAAAAAGATAATGTTTCCTAAGATAATTTCTTTACTACAATATTCTTCTGCAGATGCGTATAATGCGAACCTCCGATAGTTTAAGATATTTTTTAACATTTATTTTCTTTCCAAGTTACAACGACCAATTATCGTGCACATCACGTTGACTTTAACCCTTTAATGAAGTTTGATTTTATTATTTACTCATTAAGTATCATAAGTTTTTAAATGCAATGTGTCTTTGAATAATGATAAATGAACTTTGTCTTTGAATAAAACTATGAGTACAGCCTCTACAGGGCAACAACCTTTCAGAGAAAAAAAATATTTTAAGTTGTGACTGAGAGGAGTTACTTTACTTAGGTAAAATTCATACATGCCATAATCCCCGCCGGAGGACAAAATCCCTCGATTTTCAGCCTTGTTATCCGATCTCCCACCGTATGTACAAATTTCCCAGATGTTCAAAAACCCAACAATCAAAATATAAAAAAAAATTGTTACAAATAAAACATTATTTCTGATACACTTGGTATTTTCATATCATATTAACAACTATAATTGATCCCTATATTTCGCAAACATTAACAGAATTCATAAAATCAAAGCACAGTCACCGTTACAAACAGACAAAGAAAACGGGTTCATGGAATAGTTTTAAACAATACCAAAAATAATGTAAAAGAGAATTACGTAAAGCCGAATGGGATCATGAAAACAAAGTCATTCAGGTAGACTTATATCGAATGATTTAACTTGGTCGGATCATATTACAAACATTTGCGAAAATGCCAACTCGACACTCGTTTCCTCAGACAGAACTTGAATGTCGTGAATTAGATTACATAGCACTTGTTAGATCTCAACTAGAATATGGTTCTATTGTTCGGGACCCGTATCTCAAAAAAAAATATTGAAAAAAATGAAAAAGTTCAACGCCCTGGCTCTCGTTTTATTTTGAAAAACTTCAAGTCCAAAGAAGAAGGAAGTGTCACTCATAAGTTTGCATCATATTTGTAACCTGGTTGGTCAAAAATATCTAAGTAATCGCATGAATAGATGACATCCGCGTTAGCGTTTAATAATGTTCAAAAAGGTCATTACTTTACTAGATCCTAGAGAAACGCTGTATTACAAAAGTACTACACAAATATTGTTTATGGTTCAAATATTAGGGTCACTTATTTTCGCGATGCTTTCCATCCAGTAAGTATTTCAAAGAATGCTTAAGATAAGTTTCTTTTGTACGTATGAGCCTGATAAAATGGATAATAAGATGTAACCCTTAGGCATTAAGTAGTTGAAATAAATGTGTACTAGGAAAAAAAATTATTAAAATGTATACAAATATAATAGTTAAGATGCTATACTCTCTTATAAAGAAGAACGTGTTCGACATGGCAATAGTCATTAGAGGCATCTAAAATAATTCGTGTTCAGAAGGGTTTTTTTCTACATATTATGTGACAAAGAGCTAATATTCCGCTAATGTTGATACAAACTTCTGATATATAATTTAAGATTAAAGAACAGATGAGTATAACAAACACAGGAAGCAGACACATTAAATATGTTTGAGGTCACTAGATGACGATATTAGTGTAACATTTTGAGTTTAATCGTTCACAGGGAAGGAAGTGTTACACGAAGCTTAAGGATGGAGTTCTCATGATAACTTGTTCAGGAGTTCTTGTGATAACTGTCACGGAGTTCGTCGGAAAACTTCTGTATATTCTACAAAAACACTTGTTAAAAATGGTTACTACTCGGGTATAAATCTGTTAGCCGGTGCTTTATGTTTGCAATTTTGCATTATAATTAGGTAATTATGTATGGCAAGGATGAAGACCAGAAATGAACCGGTCAAAACTTCTGAATAGGCAAGTAATTTGGACATTTTACTGAAAACTACCAGATTTGAAGCAATAGGCGATGAAAAATGGCCTGTGAATTAGTTTTTGACACATAAAACAAGAGGAAGGACAAACTTAATCATTAAAGTTTAATTTAGCACATAAAACTCATTTTTGAACGATGAAAATAACCAATTTTGACGAGTGTTTTTGTGGTATATACAGTTTTCTGACGAACTTCGTGACAGTTATCACAAGAACTCCTGAACAAGTTATCATAAGAACTCCATCCTTCGTGTAACACTTCCTCCCCCGTGTCGTTAGAAACAAATATGCAAAATGGCAGCGAGGTTAGTGAGAAGTAATCTAAACAAGAAAAGTCTTTGACATACCTTGTATAAAGGATCCTTAACTTTGGCCTCTTCAACAGAACTAGTTTGTTTATATTCCTTTTGATACAGATTACCTGCAAATAATAGTTACTGAATATATTATCTGAAAAAAATCAGAGGCAATTACACCGTGTATATCCAGTAACGCCGAAATATGAAAATAACGCCCGATTCGTGCAATATGTAACGCAGAATTGTGCAATTAATTGCGGATACCTGACAGTATTTCCAACATGGTAAGATAACTGGCCAATATATATTCTATTTAACCGAACTGAATTAACTCAATAGCCGCATACGGCTGCGAAGACATAACTCTTTATCTCTCATCAAAATTATTTCCACTAAAATGTTTATTTTTCAAGATCACACGTAAAAATGATGGCTTGACCATCGTTTTGAGCGGGATTTTGGCTTTTTGTCAGCTCTTGTAAGTTCAACAATGCATATTATTCCGTATAATTTCGATTTTCGGTAGGCAAGTGACATATACGTAACTTCTTGTGATATAGAAAATTGAAAATAAACTGATGAAATGTGATTCAAGCCTTTTTATGAGGAAACGCCGATGTACGTGAAATGTACTTCGCGGTAACGCTGGAAAATGTGATTCTTTTCCTTATATGGTACAGAATTCTAACACAGTTTTAACGCCTTTTATCGGCGTATTATCAAGTTATTTGCGACCTATAGTCTATGTATTTTCTTCGTAACTTATTAAGAAATATATGATAATTAGATTTTGACAAACTTTGAACAATTTGATTGCATATTATAACTTATACATTTTGACAATTGCTTCCTGAAATAAAATTATTATTTGTGAACATGCTGCCCACGTCTGATCTTGTTAAAAATAAGAACAATAAACTTAGTTTGCAATCAGTTGAATAAGAGAAGAAGTGTCTGTATATTTTATGCTTGAAATAATGCACTAGTAAAGCTTGTTGAAAGTCTCCATATGTCCTGTTTTATGTTGGCGTGATGTGAAAAGAACCAAAACAAATATTTGGCTGTAGAAATTTGCCTTGTGGACTTCTGTGAAAATGGATTATTTATTTAATTCATTTTTTCTCTTATATAAGGAATAAATTGTATTCAAAAGATATTTAACTTACAAAAACTTGTAAAAGCATAACCTTATTATCCTCTGGTAAAGTTATATATATTTTAACCCTTGAAGTAAAGATTAACCCTACTCTTAAGGTTTCTTATTACATATTAACTTGTATGGGGAAAACATATGAATCTACCGTAAGAGTTTACTTCTAGGCATTACTAGAGACGTTTACAAAACTAACATGACTAATGACCCTAAAAAGGGCCACCAGTACAGAGCAAGGTCACATCCATACAGAGTGACCATTTGCTCACTCAGGTACATGTAGCTCAGTTTTACAAATATATTAAACATCTAACATCAATCTCTCAGACTTTGAATGAACTGTTCCCGGTTCACAGCTGAGCAAAACCATTTCATAAATTTACCAGGTAAAGGGTAACATAGACTTAAGATAGGTTGAACATATTTTGGTTACTTACTCAATGTACATGTATATGGAGAGCTACTAGAGATGTGTTTGTGGAAGATTTCATCTATCTATGCCATGAAGGTCTAAAAGTGGACTTTTTCATGTCAAATAATTAATAACGGGTGAGAAAAATGAAACAATTCTATAATTTAACAAAGCCCATTTTCATAACTACCATCTCAATAGGTATTATGAAATGGCTACCCCGTTGTTTCCTTGAGTAAGAAATGTTTCATGCATTGCTTCATACTCACTTCAACAAAGACTTTATATTACGAAGCTTATAGCTATGTGGTTTCAGGACGGATTCGAGACAGTGTCTTTTTTTCTATGCTATCAAACTAAAGTAAATTCTGTAAAAAATAAATTAAAGTTTCTCCGCAAAAATATATTTGAAAATTGCTAATACTCGCCGATTAATGGCGTTACCACCTGTGTAACAGTTCAGAACCATATATGAAAAAGAACAATTCACAATTCACATACATCGGCGTTACCTCATTAAAACGGTTTGAATCCCATTTCATTCATTGATTTCAATTTTCACAAGAAGTTAAGTAAATTTCACTTGCCTACCTTAAATCGAAATTATACCGAATAATATGCATTGTTGTTCTTATAAGAGTCGACAAAAAGCCAAAATATCGCTCAAAACGGTAGTCAAGTCACTCATGATCTTTAAAAATAAACAATTTAGTGGAAATAATCTAGATGAGGGATAAAGAGCAATGTCTTTGCAGCCGTATGCAGCTATTCAATTTTTTCAGTTCGGTTAAATGAAAAAAAAAATATTGGCCAGTTTACTTACTGCGTTGAAAATCCTGTCAGGTATCCGCCATTTATTGCACAATTCTGAACTTATTGCACGATTGGTGCGTTATTTTCACATTCCAGCGTTACTGGATATACACGGTGAATTATAAGTAAATTAAATTAACAGTACCTCTTGTTATAGTCCATGATTATGGAAGTCATGATTTTCATGATATTAAATATTTAATTATTAAATATAATCAAACAGTTATTAAATATATGTGAATGTGATAGAGTTAAAAATGTCTATGAAAACAAAGTAAACAAAATTATATATATATTAGATGCATCAAAATAACATGTTTTTCGAATTGATTAATATTTGCCTATTTTTATGCTGTGTCTACGCATTGAATATGTATCATAAAAGAGCTTACAAAAAGAACGTACTTGTTTCCTGGTGTTCAAGAAGTAGTCCGATCCCCTTGCTTTCTTTCATCATTTCCTCTAGTTTTTGATCTCGCTTGAATATATATTTGGTCACAGCGTTTTTCTTCTTTATGATATCAATATTATGTTGCGTCCTTTTCAATTCCGGCTTGACCAGTAGTGAAGTAACAAACAGCTTGTTAGGTTGATCCTTTTTAGAATCTAGTAGACTTATTTGGTGTGATATTTCAGCTATCAAGTCGTTGGTTTCCTTCTGAATATCGTCCATTTTTCTCTTGTTATTCAACATAACGTCTTTAGCTTGATTTAGAACTTTTTTCTTCATCGAGTTTATACGCTCAAGAATTTTTCCTGCAAATGTCTCCACGTCTCGGACAAATGTTTCATATAAGTCGGAAAGCTGTTGCCTGTTGGTTGCTATCAAGGATACACTATCTTCAGCCTCTGTCTTACACTTGTTTAACCCCTCTCTAAGATTTTTACAATCAGGACTATTTTCAAAGGTTTCAGCTTTCTTGCTGATGAACTCCATCTTGCATCCATTGTGATTTAAAACTGTACAATCACCACAGCAAACTTGATCGTGTTTTGAGCAATAAAATTTTACAGGTTCCCCAATATGATATTGACATGTATCATATGTATCATCAACTTTTGCTTTGACTGAATTTGAATCCTCAACATTAACTAGAGAATGATTTCTATTAACTCTTCGTCCTTTATGTTTGACAAAACATGCATCACAAATGTAGACTTCGCATTCCAAGCAATACCCATCAGCATATGTTGTTATATCATAATCTTCACAGAAACTGCAGTGTTCAATATTTTTGTCTTTTAACGCTTTTTGACCGGAGACTTCCATTTTTCGTATTCAAATCGTTCTTGTACTAAATAAATTCAATAAATGATTATTTCTCAAAATATCTATTTGACTTTTTCATTTATATCTGCTCTAAAATTTTTATCAATTAATGATCTACTAAAGATATAAACAAGCACATCTAAATTGTATCAGTGTATCACTACTAAAGGAAATAAATATATCTGTCCGGCAAATAATGATCTTTTTAATTTCACTAATAAGAAAGAAAGTGTTCCGAAAATATGAAAGGTATTGCCACATCTGACTGTTATTTCAGATTCCGACAGTATTCTTTTTACGTCTGAGACCGGTTGAAATAATTCTACATTATACCCTGGAATCCTTATGCATAACAGATTCTGTGATCACAATTTGAATGGTGGTCTGAAATAAGAATAGACAGCACTCTGACGATATATTGAAAATAAAACATCAATGTTAACTTAAATTACTTAAAAGACTAAACTAATCTTAATTTACTCTGGACACAAACGTCACAACACACTAACATTACTCTGATTTTTTATGAATTAATGTACGACAATGTTATAAAAGCGTAAACGTGCATATCATTTTGCATCTATCACAACAAGTCATTTGGAAGGTTTTTATATGTAATTCATACATTGTTTAAAAAAATTAAAAGATATTTTTAAAATACATTTCACCCCATACATGATAAACCTTAAAAAAACGTAAAAGACATTACAACATCAGAATTTTATCAATTAGGCCTTGTATTAGAACGTAAAATAAAATATCTACATCTATATTCTACATCATACACTAATTTCTTTGTTATGTTAAGCTTTTAAAAAGAAAGCTTTAAATTTAATTTCTCCAGATAAAGATAACTTTTCAATCTTCCTTTGTGATGTCTAATTACGGCCTTTCATAATGAATAACGTTGGACAAAACGACGCATTTAATTACTATATGTAGATGCGGAGTATACATATTTTATTGTTTTTATATATAAGACTCATTGTCCTCTGTTATCACAGATAAAAATGTCAAACGAATCCAAACATCTCACTCCAACGAACACATCATGACAAATAAGGCAATAGAAATAAATTATTATTTTATTTACATACTTTAAGATATGTTAAACTTGGCGAGATATCTATCAAAATTGTATCACGTTTATCGACTTGCAGCGGTGATAACCTAGACATAGTTTGTTATGTCGGTACTTTGTCAATTATTTAGTAATTCAATACTTTACAATTCATGTTACCTGAATACTCAATAATTTACATAGATTGATTATAAGTGCGCCATAAAATGCTTTAGTAACAATGACAAATTTACTAATAACAAATTTAAAGAAAGATAAAACACATAAACGATTGTTTCTTTTTAAATGGAATGTAAAACATGTTTAATGAATAACGCCTATTAGACATTTGCGACATAACTTCGTGAACGATTATCGAGGAACAGTTACGCTAATATTGAGGGGTTAATAAATTCGGAACTTTTCTCATAAACTCAGCCAATAGTCGTTTGCGGTGACGGCTGTATTGCCTAGTGCGTTGACGTGCATCAGTAGTTTCGTCCTTTGATGATGTCAAAAAGTTTGGGATATCATGACTTCTTGACTACGGCATAGGTTGTGCAGTTCACCTGGAACTGGTCCGGGTTCGAGTTGTCTCGGGACTAGGCGGGAGCGAAGCTGCTGGTCATCTGTCCATGTTGGTCCTCATTTATACATCTGATAAGGACCTAGCAATGACTGTTGCATATGAACCGCTTAATTGTCTTTGGTTTCGATGCCTGATATTTCCATAGGGACTGCACCTAACTTTTTTTATCGGCACTAAATCTTTAACTCAAAATGACGTCTTTCAAGACGTTGTACGGCCTAAAGCTGGAAATAATTTGAAAATATTGAAGTGTGAAATTGAAATGAAGTAGTTTACTGCATCGGAGTTTTTGTACCATGTCCTGTTTTTGTTTGGGGTCCGCCTGGGCTCATTTGCCACTGGTTCTTGTTGCTGGGTCGTGTGGGGTTGCCCCATTGAACGCCGCCTTTCCTTGTTGATCTTGTTTATCATATTTTAACGCGATATTATACTGTCAAGTGCCGCTTATAGCAGTCGTAAAAAGGTGCCCCGTACTTCGCTTCAGTGTCTATATTTTTCGGGTCATTTAGGATAAATTGAGTTCAGCACTTTTAAGTGTTGAGAGTTGAGTCCCGCTTAAGCCGGTGCTAGGGGCGTAAGAGTTATTGCACTTTTTTAATCCATCATGTACAACCCAATCAAACCGAGTCTGCATTTTCGTGATTTCTTTTGCTGTTTTTAATGCTTCCGAGGGATCACTTTTTCCAGATATTTTAACACTTTTTTCAGTCATATACTGATAGTAGTCCGTCTATTGTAGGATCTGAAGAGGTTCTCTTACCAGTGCACGATCTAATTTCCCACATGAAACAGAGGTGGGCTATCGTTTGCCTTCAATATATTAAACATTACTCACTGCTGTTTTAATGTTGAGCACCAAGCCAGGAGTTGTCAGGCCCATTTTTATGTATTTGGTATCACGTGGCTTGAACAAATAACCTTTGTCGAAGAAGACTGTCTACTAAAAGCCTTATGGAGACAGAAATTATTATGGAATATTAAAAATACATCAGCATAATGCCTCAGTTTAATAGAAAATGATTAATTTTATTTGCAATTCACCCAGGGTTTGAAAGCTATTTTATAAAAATGTCAAAATATATTAAGAATTTTGGTGCATATTTAGGGTATTTGATGTATGATGTAAATACTTATGTAGTTTTATCGTTTCTCTTAATCATGCTTACTTAATATCTGGTTCATTTATTTCGGTAGGATTTTTGTTCGCTTATAATCCCACCACGAGTCTCACTGAAGTGGCAAAAATGTATTTCAAATGCACACATAGATACAAGTTCTTCGAGTTACGTTAAGAGACACCCGAAACACCTTACATTATTATTTAAATAAAACATCACAGAAGGCACTGAACACTATCGTTCAGAACATTATTTGAAAAGGTATAAGTGTATCGTCAGTGAAGACGGGATCCGGGCTTTAATTCCATGTTTTTTATTGGAAACGATGAACATTTTGTACTTTCAACAAATGCGAGTACATATGGCGGTCAGGGCTATAATAATTTGATGGGACATCTCACCTAAGGTAGAACCACAGGAATAATATCATTCAGGATAAAGACAATATCACGTAATACAAACACCAATTATCTTTGACAATTCTGGTGTAATCCGTTACTTAGAAAAAATGTTTATTATAAAATGTAAGATTATTTTGAGATTATCCCTCTATATCACTTGTCCTCGATCCCCAATCCCCGTTCCTCACTATAAGCCGCAAATGTCTATTAGAAGTGTATCTGGTATCTCTATAAATGCCCTACGGTAAATGACCTTTGAAAACGAAAGTAGTCAAAACTAATAACTTTAGACTTACAGTAAGTCAGTCATTTCCCTTTTTATCCCTTCAAATCCAGTGTATGATGTGACATCATTTTCCAAAACAAACACTTTATAAATATGAGAAAAATTGATGTATAAAATTAATGTAGCCGGTAACTTTATAAATTTTCTACGGTACATGACCTATGAAAACGAAAGTAGTCAAAGTTAATAAATGTAAACTTACAGTAAGCCAGTCATTGACGTTTAAGATCCCTTCCAATTCATTGTATGAAAGCACTTTCAAAATGAATATTAGGAAATATTGATTTATAGTATTTCATGTTATGCGCATGCTCATATTAAAGTTTATGGTTTGCTACCACTAAATGTGATATATTAAGGATAGTCTATGCGTACTTACAGTATAGTATGTTTCCGTAAAGTAGCTTTATGCCGATCCAAGAATAAAAGTTATCGATCTAAGAATAAAAAGTTATCGTACAGTAAGAAATTTTAAGAATTGAGACACAGACTCCCACCTGGATCCGCTCTTATTTGTTCCTAGTTTTTTTACGTTTTAGGTCCTAACACAAGATGGACATCTGTCGCAGTCATAAACTTGGTTCGATTAAATTCCCACATGATTTTTAAAAAGAAACCCATTTACCACTAAGTTACAATAAATTTATTGAGACTGAAAGTGCAATGAAATTAATTGTGTTTTAAAATTATTTTTATGATTGAGCGTGATGTCCAATTGGTCTTCTCGTCTGATAACCTCGAGTCACCAGTTTCCGTGCTGTTAAATTTGCATTAACGCGGACAATAAATTAAGGGTAATAGAAATAAATCAATTTTTATAACTGTTCATCAATCAAAATACAAAATACATACGTATTACCTTTATATGGAAATGGTTTATTTCTAAACTGGTTAACCTCAATCCGTTGTGTTTAGAAAAATGAATAATATAACGATACCTAGGCATAAACACAAGAAATAATGTAAGTTTACGAATACATATTGATTATTCTTCAAGTAAACAAAACAATATTATATTACAATAACATGGATGTAATGAATGGTAGCCGATTGGGACTATTTCAGCCCGAGAGACATTGTATCGTTTTATCATAAAATGTCGCGAGCAACTTATAAACCCGCGAGAGTTTCTGCCGGAATCATATAAAATGTCGAGGGGGACGTACAAACCTTGATATTCTTTCCCAGTTGTTGGAAAGAGCAAGGGACATTTTTACACCAGTGGCCGCTAGCGTCCATGTTTTCACATAATATATTATACCTCGTTTGTCTATAAAAAGACGAGGAGGAGACAGAAATCCGCGACAATTTTACAATTATTGTAAAAATTCTACAAAACGTCGAGGGAAAAAATTATAGGCCGCAACATTTTGTTCCTCATCAACGGTTTTATAACATATCTCGGCGAGTTATAGCAATTTTCAGCGCAACCTTTTGCGCAGATACATTTTCCGGCATGAAAAGCCGAGGCTTAATGTTCAACCTCGTTTTTTACAATGAGCATCAAAACAGAATATGGCGGATTATAATTGCCGCAATCGGCGACCTAAAATAATCCTTTGTTTGCGTTTCATAGAGTCTTCTATGTGGGTTATGGGCTAGTTATAATGTAACAGATGGACAAGTCAAATATTAATCTGACATTTATCTGAATGCGTATTTGACAGATGATCACCGTTTTTTTTATACTTTCGTCGTCCTTGCAATCCTAAATATTCAAATATTTTACTATTTATCATTTAAATAAATAATAAATAATATAAATAAATCATTGTCGAAGAATTTCTTCTTTATTTAACACCATTGACAGAAGACGAGCAAATAACACTTCATCAAGCCTTTTTTGTAATCTTTGACATTTGTATAAGTTGGATTTCGCAATAATCTCAAAATAGTTTTGTTCGGAATCAGAACAAACCTTATTAACTTAACACACACGCAGATTGTTTCTAGACAACTATAGTACCTAAGACCCATAATTCAATCGGGTAACATTTTTCAATTGTTTCTCTTTATTTGTTCATTTTCATCTCTAATAATTATTCTTTCCTTCTTATTATTTGTCCAGAGTAAAATTTTTATACCATACATACAAATAAATGACTTCAGTCTTAACATATGATTATCAAGGAAAATGCAGTGACCATCTTATTTTTGAAGCTCATGTATGTCCCATTGTTTAATTATTGTAGTCTTTGCCTTATTTTTTAAGCGCAGTATAAACTTGATTTTGAACATGAGATTGGATTGAAAGTAAAAGAAAAATAAAAGGGCAAGTTCTATCTATGAATTAATCAAGAAATATTATGCTATATTGTCCTATTATTGTGGACTGAATCTATTAATGTCAATTGGCACATGTGTACTACTCTTTGATATTTTGAAATGCTCTTCAAATTCGAAGAAATATAAAAGATTATCAGCTCCAATTTAGATATTTAGCATGGTACGCTTTAAGATATCCCTTGATTTAATTTAGTTTAATCTATATTTTTTATCTAGTCTAGAACTGTCCAAAGGGCGTAATTGGAAATTGAAAAATGAATGGATTACAATTGGATGAAGCGCTATAGACCTGTTCAGCCACATAAAAGTAACTTTAAGAACTTTTTCCGAAAGTTTGAACTTTTTATCCACAGCATATATATACTCACTCACATTACTTAGGTGATAAGCTTTTGCCTGAGGTATAAAGATAAACTAATCTTCCATTATGTACAGCTGGACAAGGCTCTATGATGTTGGTACCTCTTGTTTTGTATTTTGATGTAACAAAAACCCTTAAATTTCTAAAGATTTTAAGAAATGCAAATCCAATACACAAATATAAAAGACTTAAATCAAATACGATGTCACTGATTAAAACATGTGCGTTCGTTTGCTTATTGATTAACGACCAAAGTCTAGTTATCTTTAAATAATAATTTCCACAGACCTCGGAGTTCAGAATATGACACCCTACACACTGTCGTGTAACTTGAATCAGTATGACAATCATTATGCATTGCATCTGTGCAAAATTTGATTTCCCTGTGATCTTCTTAAAAAATATACAACTTTTATGATTCTTAATCGTAAATGCGATTTTGATTTTTAATTCATGTTGAAATTCAACCAAACCAATTGTGTTTACATGTGAATGTTAAACTCATCTCGTGCTAATTATTTTCTCAAGAGTACAATTAAAGGGTATGTACTAAAACATCATATGACAGTACATCATGTTTCCCTATTGTACTTCTTGTAGAGTCTCTTATATTAAAATGCATATTGTGCATATAATTATTCTATGTATATAGGACAACGCTACATCACAACACACCATAGTGTATAACTTTAAGCAATTGTAACGTCTTTTTTCAGGTAAATAACCTTAAGATCAAAAGAAAATAAATACATACACTTACATTTACATAATCACTGTCAACAGTTAATATTTTCTATATTTTACAAGCTTTTCTTAAACAAAACCTGTATAATAGGGGAAAATCAATTTGTTGTACGCCATTGCATATTTTGATGACACAAACTTCCTGTTCAATGTGTGTAATTTAATATTACGGCGAGATATCATTTAAAAATATTGTGATACAACAGCAATTAAGCCCATTATTACACTTTAATATAAACGTTATTTTTTCTGTAACATTGCATCATGCTAAAACTGTTTATAAAAATAGCCACGTTCTTTTTTGTCAGTAATTGTATCTAAAAGAGTCATATATATTAATTTCAGATACTAAATGTTCATCATAAAATGATTGTTTGATTATAGAAAGTCATTCAACAAGGTCTCGCGAAGAAGATATAATACATATACTCTGAAAGCAAGCTCAATTGAACATGACTACATACGTGTTGAACAATCTTGATTTTGTATTATCTTGAAGGAAGATTAGACTACTAGTAATTACTTGTGGTTTTCTTTCTTTAAAATGTAGCAGCAATTAAATCTGCTTCTTCTCCAGTTTAAAAGTGGCCAACTCTGACGGCATGATAACCATTTTTTTACATTCAATATATTGTATATGTTGACCTATTTTAAAACAGGATATTATATTAGATTATGATTATATCTTTAAAGAAGAAATAATGAAAAGATCGGAAAAATGCAACGCAATATTTGGTCTCGCTCTTGTTTTCCTATAAGTGTGTCTGGCTAAATGTAGTAGGTAAAATCTGTATACATTTGAATAATTTGACATCAAATGTGTAAGCAAGCATAAAATAGCTTAAAAGAAACTATTACGATCGTACTTTACTACAAAGGTCTCATCAGGTTAAATAGATTATTGTTACTAAAGAAGGAATGCAAATCACAACGTAATTTGTATCCAAATGCTGAATAAGTTATTGCACAACTTGTAGTAAGTTGTTTTTTGTTTGTTTGTTGTTTGTTTGTTTTTTTTTGCAGAAAAAAAATATACGTCAATTTAAAGTATGTCATCATATTAAAAGAGCTAAATTATCCCTACAACCCCCAAATAACGGATTGTTGGAGTAATCTCCCATATATAGATGATAATATCGTTTAGAACAAAACATGTAGAGGAAAGCAGAAGGGGATGTTTACAAACAATCATAAAACAAATTCAAAACTAAAAATGATGAATAAAGAATAAATACCTTTAAGATTAATAAATGCCAAATACGGTATTTTTATTATATTGTAAAACGAAACTCTCGTGATATCTCTACCTGATTGGCGTCCGCGCCGAAACGCGGCGCCCCTTTATGGAATGAAATCAGATTTTGTGAAAGGGCGACAGCAACTTCTCGAGCCTTTTAGTCGGTCATAATAAAAGCCGATCATTCCGATCGGTATGAGGGTGCTTGATTATTATTAATTAAAAATGAAATGTCGCGATATGTACAATGAATAGCGAACTGGAGGATTTCGCAATGCAAACATTTTCAAATGCGTCTCTTCGGTTTTTTTTATTTATCATTTTGTAGTACACAGTGGGTTATCATGGTATGTTAAAATAGAATGATGAGTTGATGACCTAAATATTCCGAAAATCTATTTATAGAGGGATCTATTTATAGATGGATGTACTCTTATCGGTAATTCCGGTCTCTCCCGGTTTATTTTGACCGGGATACTAGTGACCGGCGAATAGTATCACACGTTTATTGTCCGGTCTCCCCGGTTTTGGAGAAGATGTTTGATATCGTTACAGAACAGAACAAATATTTTACAGATAAATAAGCTTTTTTCCAAAATGAATGTTTGTCACTTAGTTTGGTTACAATAATTAATAAACATAGACCAACTCTCAAATTTATTGATTATTATTATACATAAACATACAATTCGAAAAAAAAAAACAACAACAACAACATTTTATCTATATGAGATAAAAAAAAACAATAAATATGTACAATAATTGTGA